AACCAGGGTAGCCGACGAAAGGCCCAACAGATCGATGCACGAGCGCATGAGGCGAACCCAGTGAGTCGAGGGTCGGCCATACAAGGGTCGACTATACAAGGATCAATCATGATTGGGTCGAGGCTTGTCGGTCAAGAGATAGCGTGCGATCAAGCACGTGGAAGAGAACGTGGGTTGGACGCGCGATCACACAAGTCGGCCAAGGAAGGTCGCGCATGGAGGAATGCAAGGGCACGCAAAAAGGTGGTCCGTAAGAGGGCGAATATCGAGCGCAAGGAAGGGCGCGTTAGACAAAAGCGTGAATACGCGCATTGGCGTAGACGCGCATGGCGCTTGGAGATTAGACGAAGTGGTGCGCAGAGGGAGGATGTCGGGAGGTTGATGCGCACGAGGGATTGCAGCAAATGGACAAGCACGCATCGGGCGTTGGACGATACGCAGACAGCGCTGAGCGCACGAGGGCGCACAATAGATGAACTGAGCTCTGGGGCGCTGAGCGGGCCACGCGGGCAGGTGGACAGGCACGGGAATATCGCGGGATTATCGAGCGTGGGTAGTAGTTGCACGGTTGACAAGGACCCGCGGGAGCAGGTGGCGCATGGGCGAGCCGCGTGCGCAGTTGGCGACGCGGGTGGGATGGGCCAAGACCTAGGCCTAGTAGGCTTAGGGAAGCTGGGCGACACGCACGAGATAGTCACGCAGGCGAAGGGTGCGATTGCGTGCGCACCCGAAAGGCGAGGCAAGACCAAGGCGGCAAGCCTAGTCCTCATAGGAATAGGCATGGCGCGAATCCTAGACCCCGCAGGACTAGGAAAAGCAGTTGAGTGTCGTGATGCGCGTGAAGGATCGGTGACGGGAGTAATCCTCGGAAGATCAGGCAACGTAGCCGGAAGCATATTCCTAGTAGGAATAGGAAAGATGGATATGGGCTCAAAGTCTGATCCTTCAAGGAATAGGAATAGCGTACACAAGGCACGAGACCTTACTCCTCGAGGCAAGTGGATAGGCGGACGTAGGAGACGCAACCTTAG